TTCCCCAAGCCTCAACTTCCCTGTATTTAATACCAGGATAAGCACCAGCCAAATAGCTCAGCAGATTAAAGCACCTGCTTAGGCAGATACAGCGGCTGGGGCTCTACACCCACCCCCACCTGCATGCCATGCCAGCCCTGCACCCGGGGCCCACTGAGACAATAATTGAGACGAGGAACAGTGGCACACGCCTGTAATCCCAGCTCTTTGGGAGGCTGAAAGTAGGAGAACCACTACAAGTCCAACGTATGTAGTGAGACCCTGTACACCCTTACTACAAAATACAAAATAAGAATAATAAAATAAAACCAGGATAATGGGGCTGGCGAGATAGCTCAGGGGAATAAAACACCTGCTTAGGTGTGCAGGGTCTGCGGCTTGATCCCTGACACCACATGCCACGCCAGCCCCACCCCCAGGGCGGGCTGAGCTGGCCACAGAGTCTGGACAGGCATACTGGCGTACACCTGTAACACCAGCACTGGGGAGGATGAAAACAGGAGGATCGGGCCGGGGAGATGGCTCAGTAGAGTAAGCGCTTGCCTGGCAAGCGCAAGGGCCTGAGTTCAATCCCCGGCTCCACACACACACACACACACACACACACAAATAAATAAAATAAAATAAAATAAAATAAAAAACAGAAGGATCACTATGAGTCCAAGCTGCTTAGTGAGAGACCCTGTAACAACCAAATACATTTTAAAAAGGAAAGAAATAGACAAGATAATATTCCCTTTACTTAAAACCAAAGAGTAGGAGCCTTGCAACACAGAACGTTCTACAGATCCTGCTACTTCTACTCCTTTGCCTGCAAAAAAAAAAAAAAAAAAAAAAAAAAAAAAAAAAAAAAAAAAAAAAAAAAAAAAAAACAGCAGGCATAGAGGCAGCAGGCAACCTAGGGAAGGCCCAGTGGCGAAAGAGTCAGGGAGCCTCAGACCCAGCGCAAGTCCTTCCCAGCAGCCACGTGCCAGGGCCTCAGGTCAGAAGCACTGCCGAGCTCATTTTTGTGTTGAATTCCTGATCACTTCCTGAGCTGCTATAAAGAGAATAAAACGGGAGCCCAGGGAAGGCTTTAAAGATCATAGCATCCGTGACCAAGCTGTCGTCAACGCCACTGCTTCTCCTTTCCTAGGCTTCTCCCGAGTCTCCCCATTTTCTCCCTCTCTGCCCCAGCCGGTCACCCAAGCACTTTCCAAGGTCTCCAACTTCCAGGTCTGTCTGCTTCAAGCAAGCTCTGCCTTGTCCCCTTGGTGGTCAGCATTCCTACCTGACTAGAACCCTGTTATCTCCTAGGAAAATCACCAGAACAGGTGCAGAATAAAGGTGCCGCAAGGAGGGAACGGCCACTGTCACCCAGGAGAACGGGGAAGAGAGGGCAGAGCTGGGGTGACCTCACTGGCCCTTTCTGCACCCCTCACAGAGAGCGGCTTTGGGGCTGGACACTCCAGAGTTCAGGTACTGACCTTGTACAAACCACTTCTTTTGCGGCTCATTTGTTTTCTGTCAGGCAAACTGTGGGCAAAGCTAGCCAGCAGGCACTGCTGCTGGATTAAAAGAGACGGCACCTGTCAACTCCAAAGTGCATCTCTTACAGCCCTGGGGGAGGGCTGCTTGGTAAAATGCAGGACATCCAATTAATGTGTACGTATGCCCCAAATATCATACGGGTCATCCTCACATTAAAGCATTATTTAGGGTTTCTCTCAAATTCAACATTGTTTGGGTACCTGGAGTTTTTCTTTGTTTTGTTGTTATTTGCTGCTACTTGTTGTTTTGTCTGGGGTTCCGCTACCTGGCAGGGGGCAGGCCGGCCACTCTGGCCCTCTTCCCCCTAGCAGAACAGGCCATTCTCAGACCTCAGTCCACCAGGCTCCTGGCCTCTGAAGGAGCCTAGTGGAGGCCACAGGTCCTTGCAGCCTGAACGCCCCCCACCATGCTGCGGTCACAGGGGAGGCATACCTGGCAGACAACACATTTTGCAACTGTCACAGCTAGTCAAGGTCACCAGAAGAAAGCTCTGGCTCTGTCCTGCTCCTCTGGGGCTAGGGGGCAGGGAAGGGAGGCAAGGAGACTCAAAGGGGTCCTCCGCTCCTTCCTTTGAAGTCCTTCCCTAAAGAGGCCAAGCACCAGTCTAGAAATCCCTGAGTTTGTACCCCAGTGGGGCCTACTGTCTTTGGCAGAAAGCCTGGTCAGCATAGTGGGGGGCTGGGAACCAGGAGGTGCCAGGGCGCCCCCAGCTCTGCTCCTAAGTCACATGTGTTTGATTGGCCTTCTAGAGTGACAATGGGACCATGACAATGGCACCAACACTTACACAGTACCTGCAGTGTACGGGTACTTGCTAAGCTCTTTATAAACAATCCCCTCTCGTCCTCAGAGCAATCTCCCAGAGTGGCCACCGCATCACCCCCATTTTACAGGTGAGGAAACTGGGGCACAGAAAGAACAGGCAATAGGGAGAGGTAGAGGCAGCTAGAAGCCTCAAAGCTCAGGAGGGTCTTGACACTTGGTCTTGGCCTCTTAACAAAGCTGTGGGAGGAGGGATGAAGGGAGGCTCGGGAACAGGTCCCGAAACACCGTTATCCGGAAGGAGTAAAAGTCCCAATGTCCATAGTATATTGCAATGACTAACGTTTACAACAGTTTATTTTGTTTGGGGTTTTTTTGGTACCAAAAATTGAACTCAGGACCTTGCCCTTGCCAGGCAAGTGTCTGTGCCACTGAGCTCCATCCCCAGCCCGTATTTTGTATTTTTATGAGCTGGTGGGTTCCCGGCACAAAAAAAATCAATAAATGCTTAAGGAGATGGAGATGGTGGTCACCCTAGTGTGATCACTGTACATTGAGCATATGGATCAAATGAATGCGCTGTCCATTGTGCCCATAAATACATGCAATCATGATGCACTGATTCATATTTTTTAAATGTCTTTGAAGTATCAGAAGCAGCACACGTCAGGATGAGGACAGACATCTGCTGAGAGGCCTCTGCCTTGCCTGGGGCTTCCATACCCTTCACAAGATCGGTCTCACAGAAAGTCACAGCAGGTAAAGTGGGGGATACTCGCTACATCCTGACCTTAAGGGCAGGGAAACTGAGGCTCAGCGAGGTCAAGGATTGCCGAGGACCATAAATCTGAGTCTAGCTCTCACCACAGGTCTTGTATTCTAAGGCCTGCGCAGTCCCTCCACCACCCTCCTGGCCTCTGGTTCAGCTTGAGGACGTCGCTCTGGCCACGCAACCTGGGCAGCTGCAGTGAGACCAGATCTGCCCTGGGCACTGTGCCCTGGGAGGTGCCCTCGAGCTGCCTCTGTCCTCTTTCAACACCAGCACTGCCCTTTCCCCAGGGACATAGACACTGCCTCCCACTCTGAGTTATCTTTCTGCCAGCCCCCATACCTACCTGGGTTCCATCTTCTCTCCCATAATCTGAAGATCTCAGAAACCCACTCAGTTACTCTATAGATGGACAAACTGAGATGCAGAAAGGATAATAAGTGGCTGCCCAAGGTCCCAGCCACCCATGCACGGGCTTGCTCCTAACTCTAGGAGACAGACACCTTACCTTCATCTGCAAGACAGAGGGGGGTCAACAGAGCTGGTCACTACCTGCCAACCATGGGGTGAATGATGTTAGCTCTCCAGAACCCAGTGCCAGCACCAACTGGAACCAAGGAGAACTCAGGCCCAGGGAGGTCTTCACCTACCAGTCCTGATGCCAAGAATGCCATCTAGTGATCTGGGAGCCATGCAGGAGACTGGGGACTAAGCGTAAAGTAGGGGAACTCTATGCCTTGCAAGTGAGCTCTAAGTGTAAAGTAGGGGAACTCTATGCCTTGCAAGCGAGCTCTTCCTAGGACTAGTGCAAGGCAGCAGAAGTACCAGCACAGGGGGCTGCCTCTGCGAAGGAGTGGCCACCCAAGCCTGTGATAGTGGCAATGAATAGAAGAGCCCAGGAATCCTGCAAACAGGAGCAGCTTCTTTGAGTTCTCAGCAAATGGAATAACAGAGATTCTGAAGCTCAACCTGCATCTGCGTCACCTTTTATAACATGTGGCCCCAATTCTGCCAAACCTTGAGGGCCAGGTAGGAGGCAGGCTGTAGCTCTGGGAGATCACACGGGGGGCTACAATGCTTACAGATGGAAGTCCACCCAGCCTAAGGACGCCCACCTGCTCCCACCCTGCCTTGGTGCACAGCCCTGTGGCTGCTGGGGTGCCCTGCTTCTCAGCTCCGCCTTTGCCTCCCTCCTACCGGCCTTCTCTGGGCCACTTAACTCCCTGTGTCCTCACGCTCCATCTGCAGATGGACAGGCGTGTCCTGGAAGGGGCTCCAGGAAATCAGAGAAGCACCAGACTGCAACATTTCTGTTTGCCTTTTTCACTTCTGGGCTGAAAAGCCATGGGGCCATAAATCACGACTGCATGCCTGGCTTACCGCTGGTCCCCTCACCAGGAATATTCTCACCCTTGTCATCAGAAGAGCAAACCCGAGCTGCCAAGCAACAGAGACCAAAGCCACAGCGTTGGCCAGCTTCTCTCCGTCTTCGGGTACCCAGGTAAGGAAAGTCGCTGTGCTTGCCACATGGTAGGTGCCTTCTACTAAAGGAGGCCCTGTGGTTACTGGATGACCCACACCCACCAGTCCTAGGACACAAAGCGGGGTGAGGTGATCCTGCCCAGGATATGGGGCGTGCCAGCAGGTTATGAACTTGGGTAGGTGAGTTCACAGGAAGAAGGAAGCAAACACTGCTTCATCGCCAGGAAACTCAGAGCATTTGGCCTGTGTCCCTCCCGCCCATTCCCCACAGAGATCCCGGTGAAGTTCAAGCTATAGAAACCTTGAGGAGTAGCCTCCTGTGCGCTCTCCTGGGCAGCGGCTGGCCCGACCCCAAATCTCCTTCTCCTCCTCCTCAGGGCTCAGCCTGAAATTGCTGGGGGCGGGGGTCTCGCTCTGCTCCGCCCAGCGCCCCCGCCAGGCCAGCTTCCCGGCTCACCTTTTGGCAGTTTGGAGGCGTTCTCCTGGATCCAAGAGAAGAGGTGTGCGAAGTCACAGTCGCACAGCCAGGGGTTCCCGTCCAGGCGCAGGGTGCGCAGCGCGGGGAGCGCCTCGAGGGCGGCCACGTTGAGGCTGCGCAGGTTGTTGTCGTTGAGCTCCAGCACTTGCAGCGACTCCAGGGTCTCGAAGGCGGCCTCGTGCACGCCCGCCAGGTTGTTGTTGGCCAGGCTCAGCTTGACCAGCCTCCCGGCCGAGCGGAAGGCGCCGGCGCCCAGCTGCGTGAGGTTGTTGTAGCTGAGGTCGAGGAAGGCGAGCTTGGCCGAGCCGCTGAACGTGCCCTCCTCCAGCGAGCGCAGAGAGTTGTTCCTGAAGTCCAGGTACACCAGGTCTCCGTAGAAGATGAAGAAGTCCTCAGGGATCTGTTGGATGCGGTTGCCGGCCACCAGCAGCTTGCGCACGTCCAGCGGGAAGGGGTCGGGCACGCTGGGCAGCCCGCGGTCGCGGCAGTCCACGGTGTGCGGGTCGGTGCAGGCGCAGCCCGCGGGGCACGCGAGCCCGGGCCGGAGCTGCAGCAGGAGGCTGCAGAGCGCGAGAGCCGCGGCGGGGCGGCGGGGGGCGG